AATGATCTCAAATTTTACACAGAATAATTTTTTTGGGTGGTGAATATGTTAAAAAATTACGCCTTGGAATTCGCTGGGGGCAGATTCACCATGCTTATCCAGCTAGACCCTTTCGTGGCAGTTTCGTGGCTGGCCGAAAAAATGGCCGAGGAAAAAATCCGATCCGAGGAAAAAAAACCTAAAAAAATGACCGGTAAAAGTGACCTATGGAAAGAATGACTGTTGACAAAATGGCCAGCGAAAAAATGACCGAATTAAAAGAACTGAATAAAACTTTCTTGAAAGATAGTGGATAGTGGTACACTGTTGTAGAATTTGACTGAATTTTCTGGACAAAGACCTCGAATTTAATAAAGGCGAAAAAGTTAATGCAATTTCATTTTCCTTTGGAAATTCAAGTAAAATTCAGATGTTTTACCGGCAGGAACATGGAAATTCCACAACTTACATGAACTTTCAAATGAAAATGAATATTCATTGGCAAATTCGCTGAGTGATTGAATGGAATTTTAGTTCCCATGGATTTTTCTATAAAATTATCGATTTTCAATGACAAAATTCCTTGAAATTTCAATGGAAATCTCACTTGTAACGGTGGGTGAGTGGCTAGATGATTATTTTCGGTAAAGCCGCCTGTGTTTTGTTTTTTTTCCGTTCTGAACCAGCGAGAATTCGAATAGTCGATTCCGCTGACTGATGTCGGTGTTTATTCTAATGGAATGAATGCAGTACCAAAGTGGTAAAAAAAAGAGTGCAGCCAAAAAAAAGGAGTGCAGCTGAACACCGAGCTTTTCAATTTAAAAAATTATGTACTCAATATGTCGAGAACGTGAAAATAATCCCCGAATTTCTGAAAGCTATAGCAACCGTAGTTCGTTTTCGAAGCCTCAAATAAATTATAAGAAAAATGCTCAATATTGATCCCAGGTAGAAATATGTGTTGGGTTTGCGAGCTTGAACATGAGGACTAGGTAGATATTGCTAGGTTGCAAAATGACAGGTTGTGATCAGCCGATCTCGTCCTAGCATATGCAAGGGAGCAACTGCCATGTTGCAGTAGGTGGCCACACACTCCACATGGCCTAGCATATGCTACGCAACAATTGCCACGGTATGTTAGATTGTCACAGACCCACCATCTCCCAGCATATGCAACGCCGAAATTGCCATGTTGCGTTGGATGAATACAAGCTTGAATGATTCAGACATGGAAGTCTTGCACGTATGTGTCTCTGTCAGGTCGTCGCTGGCCGTATTTTGTCTAAAAGCGTTGGGTGCACACTAGTGCCACCAAACAGAATAGCCTGAAGGGACAATCTACAGGCCTCGATTCATTTGGACTTGGAATTATTCCGGAAGACAAACATCGAAATAGATTAATAATTGAATATTTGAAGTCGCATAATCATAAAATATTTTTAGTGATGTGTTTCCCGAAATCATCAAAGTCAATGCTATGATATTATTCATAGTTCGAAGTTACATGTGAAATCTTTATTAATTATGTATACTGTCTTATTGTATATATTTAATATACAATTAAAAGTCTTCACTGCAGAGAAAGAGAGGTATGTATTATAAATTTTCTATGTTTTATTCAGTCTTGAGACTCGTCATTGTCATTCGAATATAATTTCAGAAGTTGGAAGTTAGCACAAATAAATGTGATTTCGAGGTTAGATTCGAGTATCAAAATGAGTGATGCAGTAAAACGCAAATGGAATAAAACAATGATGAGAATCCGTAAATATCGTGCTCGACTGAAATATCGTCAGGAGCAGGTTCGAATGCAATATCTGGATCTATTGAGCTCTGCTTCCGATGAAGACGATTATCATTAGCGTGTGATGGATGCTGATAGTGATACTGATTATTCGGCTGTGAATGACGTAGAAAATGTAATGGAAAGCCCAACATTGCAGCTCTATAATTTCGATTACAATAATTCCACTGACGATAACTCCAGTAGACAACCAGAAATCCCAAATGAACGTCATTCAGATACAGACAACGAACGTGTATTTATGAATGGAGAGTCTAGTGATCATTCCAATGAAGAAGAGGATAATAATCAACCAATAGATAACCCTCAATTGATGTTCATCCATGAAGCCGATAATGATCTAAATCCAGAGATAAAACGACTCAAAATGTGGGCTGTTGAATACAAAATTTCTCACGCTCACTTGGATCCTTTGCTGGTAATTCTACGCGAGAGGCTTCTCCCTACTCTACCTAAATCAGCAAAAACATTCTTAGAAACACATCAGGCTCAATATGAAATAGAAGAGATGGAGGATGGTGATAGAACAATTGGGGAGTTGCCCTATATTGGAATCAGACAGGGTTTAGTAGCATATATTAATATATCTGCTCATGAAAACGGGGTCATTCCTATACAACTAAACTGCGATGGATTATCATTATCGAAATCAAGTAGCAAAGCACATATGGCCAATCCTATGTAAAGTTCATTCTGATTCATTATTTTACAAACCATTTGTGGCCGCTCTCTATTCTGGCTCGAGTAAACCCAAAAATCCAGCGAACGATGTGAAAAAATTCACACAGGAAATGAACCAACTCCTTGCTGACGGAATCACGATTGCTGATGGATATTTCGAGATGAACATCCGTTGCATCATTATGGATACTCTAGTCCGTGCTTTCTTGAAGAGATCTTTGGTCATACTGGGTTTCATGCCCGTGAACGCTGCAATGTCATTGCTGCTAAACATGATGGAACGACATGTTTTGAAGCAACTGATTGTGACCCACGAACTAATGCCACATTCAGAAATTATGAAGATCCTGAACATCATAATTATCCCTCTCCGTTACTGTGCACCAATCCACCGATAAATATGATAACAAATTTTGTACTGGATTTCATGCATCTCGGATTTCTGGCCACAATGTCAAAATTGTTGGAATATTGGTTTTCAAATACATCACAGTTTCGAGTTGGTTATGCAGAAAAAGCTGAAGTTTCCAGGAGATTAGAGCAGTTAAGATCATAGATTCCCAGTGATTTTCATAGAAAAATAAGAGCTTTGAATAATTTGACAAAGTATAAAGCAATAGAATTGAAATTCTTCGCGCTATATGCAGGACCAGTTGTTTTGAAAGGAATTCTTAATACTGAAACGTATCGACATTTTTTAAGGTTTTCTATGGTTTCAGGATTACTATGGCGTAAAACTACAGCACTAACCCATATTCAGTTGGCCAAGAAATACTTCAAACGTTTTTTCATAAATTCCTTGCCGATCTACAGGAAGTCTTCGGCCTCTGTGAATACCCACAATATAATCCATGTGGCTGATGATGTGAGTAATATAGGCTGCAGTTTGAGCGAGATGACAACGTTTCCTTTTGAGAATTTACTAGGGAAGATTGAGAGGTATTTACGGTCGCCTTACAATACTATAGCTCAGTTATGTCGTCGTCTCTACGAGCGAAGAATTGTAGATCAAGAGGCGAAAATGATTCCTGAAGTAGTGATATTAAAAAGAGAACGCGATGGTAGAATACGAAAAATGCAGTATAAAGAATGCTTGCTTTCTACAAAAGCTCCCGATGACATTATTTTGTTACAGAGCAACCAAATAATTAAAAAAAACTGACATTCATGAGCATGATACCAACATTATTATACGAGGAAAAGTTTGGAATAAAAAGGCTGCTATTTTTGAAGGCCCTATTCAGCTAAATTACAAATGTGGGAACTTCACAGAGAAGAGTCTCGATTAAATATCACAGTGCCACTCCGAGAAATAAATTCAAAAATGGTTAAATTCCAATTAAACTTTTCATTAGGGGGTGAAATGAAAGTATTTTCAATACCACTCCTACACGAATGAAAGAAAATGAAAATCGACTAGTGTTTTTGTCTTGAAAAATGAGGAAAAATTGATAATCCCTGCTCTATTTTACTATAAAAAAAAGTAATCCTCGAATATATTTTCAACCTAAATATTGACGAAATTATTTAATAAAAATTATTAATGCACACGATAATTCTTCTTTACCGACATTTCTTGCTCATACATACCAACCGATAGAGACGCCAAGCCATTCGAATGACGGTTGCACTCATGTCCGAACGTGAAAACAATATATGTTCTCTGTCCGTTGTCCAAGAGACGCTCCCACGTTCATATCAATTTAAAATCATTTTTCGCGTCTCAATAGATTTTCCTGTGTTCAGTGCACTAATTACCTTTTATATTGAGTATTGTGAATAGTGTGGTTAATAATACAGTAAGTAATATCCAGTATTAAGAGTTAAATAACGGGAAGAAGTTCAGCCTTGTATTTCTGTGTTCAAATTTCAATAATGCATTCCTTGCCCGGCTAGACTCATGGAAAAATATTATGTTTCTATTATAATCTTTTCCCTCCTTATAGTTACACCCCTTCAATCGCATTTAAGGAAAGACCGTCACCCCTTTATCTACATTACATCTTAGAATTGTGTTTTCCCCTACAATTATTAATTTCTATATATGAAATTGCTTTACCGACTCGATTATCGCATCGTTGAGTCAATGAAGTAGTTTAATGAATAAAAAATAATAATTGCAAGAAAACATAATTCTAAAGATTCACATAAACGCAGGGGTTCCGTTTCCCCTTAAGCGAAAAAATAATGAAAAAGTTGTGTTGTTTCCCTTTTCCACAGTTTTATCTCTCTTTAAAGAAGTATAAAAATATTCTATGTACAGAATAAAAATACTTCATAATTTTTTTAAAGTGGTAATATTAATCGGCTAACTGAAAATAAATCATAAACCCTTAACAAGTACTATAAAGTTTTTTTTTTCGTTCAGCCAATTGACATTACCACTTCAAAGAAGTTATGAAGTATTTTTATTCTATACATAGAATATTTTCATATTTTTTGAAAGAAAAATAAAACTGAAAATCGAAAAAAACACAAATTTTTCATTATTTTTCGGATTAAATGCGTTTGAATGTGGGTAAATGAGGCGTGAAGAAATAAAAATAAAAATTCTGAGCAAAGATGATAAGAAAGTGCACGATTGTCATCCGGAACATTTTTCTCTCTGATCTCAATTTATCAAGTTGTGTCAGTGAAAGCATACGTCAAATCCAATCCGTGTCCCGCCATTAGCCTTTAAAATAAAGCAATAGAAAATTCTGAAAAAATTCACTATTTTTTTTGCCACATCAAGTAATACTCTCAAATTTTTTCACAATTTTCGGGGATATCGAACAACTTCAGTGGCCCACTTCACAAAGAATGCCTTATATTTTTCTTTTTTCTCTTAATACGGGACTCTACAAATATTTATGTTCGGCTATATATACGTAATACAGGTATGGATGATGGAGGAAAAACGAATGTATCACTGAAGAAGTATCTACTGATATCATTCCGCCTTCGTGGCAGACCAAAACTGGCAAGTGTGGACGTCGTTCCATTAAAATTGATTATTCCACCAAACAATTCCAAAAGAAATTTCGATGTTATTGCCCTCCTCCACCGTACGACAAAGTACAACAATTTGTGAATGAAAATTGTGATCATTAACCAAACTGGGAGTTATACAACATTGACATTCATGGTCAATCAAGTGAGTAAGATCTAATAGTTTAAATTATATAAGAATTATGGAAGAGTGTTTCAATGTGTAAATAACATTCGGGTATATAATAATAAAACGCCGTTAAAATTTGTTCTTGAACTAAAAATAAAATATGAAAAATGTTTAATTCCTTGAAATTATGTTTCTAGAGAACTATAAACGAGCAGAGCGTCTTCTGGATGAAATTAGAAAAGCAGACACCCCGTACGCTTTTTCAACAGACACAGAGACTGATCTCGCTGAGAAAGTAAGGAAGATTGAAAGTGAGATTAAAAACAAAATTCAAAGAAGATAGCAAATGACATGATGAATGAAATGGATCCGTTATCATCATTATCAATATTGTCAAAGTCTAGATCTTCGAAGGATGTCGACTCATTTGATGACAACAGTGGTGAGTTTTTCTACTTTTTATTAGTGTATTAAAAACATTGAATTGTTTATATATATATATATATATATATATATATATATATATATATATATTGGGTGTGTGAATATGACTCCGCCCTTTTTTGTTCAAATAAAACACATTTGCTTGTTTAGAAAATTAAAGAAAAATTTATTGAAAGTATGCTCCATCTGCAGCTACAACCTTCGCCCATCTTTCAGGTAATTTACGTATTCCTTGCCTGAAGAAATCCTGGTCTTTTGAGCTGATCCAATTATCAAGCCAAATTTTGATATTTTCGTATGAAGTGAACCGTTCTCCCATAAGAGCTGACTGCAGTGTTCGGAATAAGTGGGAATCCGAAGGAGCTATGTCTGGCGAATACGGCGGGTGGAGTAGCACTTCCCAGTCCTGTCCATCTAAATATCTTTTCACAACTTGGGCGGTATGCAGTTTGCCATTGTCATGTTGAAGAATTAATTTACTGTGCCTATTCACCCATTCTGGTCGTTTTTCTTCTATGGCTCGCTTCAAACGCATTAGTTGTCGTCGGTAAACTTCTCCATTAATAGTTTGAGAGGGTTCGAGCAACTCATAAAATACAACACCTCTCTGATCCCACCAAATGCTGAGCATAACCTTGGCACTGTGAATATTTCTTTTTGGCTGGGATGGGCCAGGTTCACCTGGCTTCACATAAGCTTTTTGGCATTTAGCATTCTCATAATATATCCATTTTTCATCTCCTGTGACTATTCGATGCAAAAATCCTTTTCTTTGCTGTCTTTGAAGTAGCATTTCACAAATTGTTTTTCGACGTTCCATGTCTCTTTCTTTCAATTCATATGGAACCCAGTTACCAACTTTTTGAACCATTCCCATTGCTTTTAAATGCTTTGCAACAGTTGATCGTTCAACATTTAATGCTGCAGCCAATTCTGATTGAGTTTGGTAAGAATCCTCTGCCAATAATGCCTCCAATTCAGCATCTTCAAATTTTTTGGTGGTTTTCCATGTTCTCTGTCCTCAGTGCCAAAATCATTATTTTGAAATCGTCGAAAGCATTCCTTACAAGTTGTTGTATTAGATGGAGCATGCTCACCATAAATCTCCACAAGCAAACGATGAGTTTCCGCTACACTATCCATTGCAATATAATAGTGTAATAACACTTCCCGCAAATGATGTTTAATTGGAACGAAAACCGACATTGTCACGGAGGTAAAAACACTTGTCGCTTACATTTCAACCAAATGTCACGTAGTGCGTTTGACAGCTGACATAAAGTACTATCGAATACAAGTGTTGCCATTTATTAGTGCACGTAAGCAATACTAAAAACGACATCTGTTGGGAAATGGCGGAGTCATATTCACACACCCAATATATTAATATTTTTGCGACATGTTCGAAAGCATTGACATCACGTGACGACCTTGTAGATCCTCTAAATATCTCCATACTCGAAGAGGATTTACTTCCTGCACCTATGATAGACAGCCTTGACAAGCCAGATGAGTTGATATCATTGGACTCACAAGTTTCCGGACAGAACAGCAGTTTTTTCCATAACTTGGAAGAACCGCCTCGGAAGAAGAAAAAGCTACAAGAGCATGCGAGTAGTGTTCATACTAATGATAATAGTCTTGATTCATTGTTTAATATATTTCTTATCAATATATGCTAACTGAGAATTTATATTTTTCCAGAACAACTTATCAACCTCATGATTTCAATGAAAGAGGAGATAAAGAACATGAATGTCAGGCTGTGGAATATCGAGAGGTCCGTAGACGGTAATCACGATTTTGTATCAGCCGATATGGCAATACCTGGAAAACATGGAACTAAAATCCCCATAAGTTCTATTCAACTCCTTCAATATTTTGAAGAAAAATTGTAAATAGTCGCTAGTGCCTCATGGATACTGTAAGTATTTCCCAATCAAAAAATAATGCTTGATGAGAATGTGTTGAAGAGATATTTCAATCCTTTATCTAGCTCCAAGTGATGAAACGATTGAAAAATATACAAGTTCGTGTGAAATTTTGAGGAAATTTTTATCGAGAGAGGTAGCCATGCAGTACACAGCCACCAAGAAGATGGTAGACAAATTTGTGATGGAATTGAATATTCCTCATTTCATGGAATGTGTTGTAGGTGAGATGATCATTATAGAGATTATATCAATTTTTCGAATAATTATTTACACGAAAGAGAATTTCATCTTTGGAAGAATTTTTTGTAGCAAACTGTAGAGCTTATTGCCAGCGAGGGATCGTCAAACAGTAACACTACTGTATTAAATTCCCACTTTTACTCGTGGTGCTCACAACTCAAATGCACGATTCCGTTCTGGCAATAAGTACTATGTACCTCAATGATTTCCTCAACGACTGTGAAACACATCCAGGAATATCGATATAATATATACATATAATCATAATTTCCAGACGCACTTATGGGTGCGCATCCAGGAATTAGTGAAAAAGACGCAAAGTCAGCTATTGGTACATCACTGACCGCAGCTAAAAACGGATGGATTTCAATCAACAACAAAAATGGAATTCTGAAGGAACGTGAGGCATTATCAGCAGGATCCAGCGACGAGTTCACTCACAATAAAACGATAGAAGGAAAGGTATTGAGGGCAAATAACATATAGGAGAAATTGATGATTAGAAATCCCAGTTTATGGAAGGATAGTACAGACGAAGAATCAGAATCAAACTGAGTCCCAAAATAAATGTAGTATCCATTTCACAGAGAAACTGAGCATATTCATGCGTGTGCTTATTTTTCTTCATCTTTAAACTTCTTATTTTTATTTGTAATGAACACTTATTTTGATGAAAAGATTATGCAAATAAACAGACGTCCCACTTGTTTTTTTTTATAAATAGTCTGCGTATTTAAGTATTATATCGTGCCAAAAAACTATCATTTTATCCAATGGCGCTCTTCATAATATCAAAAAGTATATAATAATTCTAACATCTATTCTTGCTAGATATTTGTTTTTATAATTTTTAATTATTGTAGGCGTGATGAAGAATCAAATGTAGTGATTTCTCAGTGCCAAACATTATTTTACATCTGTTATATACATAAGAACGTAGATGATTTCAATAATTATTTTACAACCTTTCGTTCGTTGTTTCGTATATGCTTTCGCATGAATATTATTAACTTTATGAATTAATCATTAGCCAAGTACAAAAATTTTATCCCCTGTTCTGGTGAAATTATATGCATATTAAGATGTGAATGCGAAAATGTTGGAATATAGCGCCCTACGCCAGTCTCCCTCTTTACCGACAGTGTGGCAGACTGCGTCGCCACGGCGCCGTTGCGCCTCTCAAAGATATACTCGTACTATGCACCACTTGTGCCGCGACCGTTGTCGCATTACGTGTCTGAATAAAGCTTAATTACTTTTACGATAATAAAACTGTGTTTAATCGTTATTTCAATCCTAAATAACCCTTTAGGTTATGGGCCAAGCACACTTCAACTGTGCGTGATTAAAATTTATCATAAATAGAAGGATTGGAAGCGATAAATCGAAAATTCCAAAAGGACGCTATCGGGCGGCCGGGCACGTGTCCGGGTGGATCACACGCGTTCGTGCAAATCAGAAGAAATATCCAAAAGAGAAAAATATCGAGGCGAGCTGGGGAGTGATTTCAAAAGGAAAGGAAAATGGAAAGTAATAAGAGGAAAAGTAAGTACTGAAAAATACATTTAATAAGTGCAGTGAATTGGCGAGACCGAGAGATAGAGGGGATCAAAATGGCAGCTGGAAATAAATTGTCCACGACGCCGACCTGAAATCGAGAATTTTAGATTAAAAAGAATTAATAAAGATATCCCATTAAATTCACAAAAATCACTGAAAAGCATAAAATATCTTTTGTCATAAATAAAATCAAATTTAAAGCAAAACAAAAGAAGAAAGCCAAGTGACGCCGAGACAATAGTTTCTCGGCGGGGAAGGCAAGCACAGGCTTCAACAGGCTTCAACAAGTAGACGCAACGGGTGGATTGCGCGTGCAACCGGGGTGCGTCTGAGAGAGAGGGACGACTGCAGTCCACACACATTGCTCGAGCAAGGCGAGAACAATAAGAAATAGAAAGAAAAAGAAAAATTAGTGTGTATATATAAAAATTGATGTGAAAAACAAAAATTCTCTCTTTCTCGGCCGCGTTCCGCGTGTGTGCGGGGTCCACCAGCGTAATGTAAAGTAATAAAATAAAATCAACAGACACTAGTGCACAATTGAAATTCATGAATTAAGGATGCATCAAAATCGAAATATTTAATTGGCAAGAATATTGAATCTAGAAGTATTTGATAGGCGAGAATAACAAATTAAATATTTGACGGGTCGAACCAAAGAAATTGAATTTTTAGAAATTGCCATCTTCAGACGAAGATATTTATAAATTAAAATTACAGCTGATAAGGAACTCTTGCATGAAGTGTGGAGACTCCTGATCAGACAACATTTAATCGAAGGAAACCACGAGGGAGAACTAGTCTCCCTGGCAATAGTAGACGATAAAGTGTATGTTCTACCAGACAAAGGAACAGGATATGTAACAGGTGAGACATCAGGCATACGTGTTAATGGGCGAGCATACTATACACATTAGAAACGCGGAATATTAAGACGTCAAATTGCTTGAGAAAATTAAATCAATCTCTTGCAATCATAAAAGACTTGAGTGTGTTTGGAGGAGGTCTTATGTTTAGATTTTCTGAAGAGCACACTCATCCTGGATTCGGTTTGTTTATGTTTAGCAAGTCGAGTCTGGGATTTCGGACCTGAATACAAAAACTGTAACCAGATAAAATAATCCTCAATTTTTCGGTCTCTTTAAAATTAGATACAAGAGAATTCACAGAGGATCAATGGAGATGTCTAACTGTGTTAGAAGCTGCATTGTTGGCCGAAAATAAGCCAATGTATCTACCAGGTTACGGTCCGAAGAGTCCAATGTCAACAACAGCTGTAATCGAGTATAGGTCAAGGAACATGAACAAAGACTTGGGAAACACGGAGGCGAGGGCCACAGGCGAGTCCAAGTCAAGCAAATTGACTGGAGGCGAGACGAATGGCGGCGAGATAAGTGCAGGCGGGAAAAACACAGGTAATGTTAATGTTGACAAAACTGACCAAATCAAACCGAAACCCAAGATTACAGCAGACAATAAAGTAAATATTAAATTGAAATTGATAAAATCTAATCTAGATGATGAAACAGTTGAGCCTAACGGCAACAAGACTGTCAAGACAGTTTCTGTAGACATACAGCTGGCTGAGCTGAAGAGCATGGTGGAAAAATTGTGCAACTCAAATATAACTTCAACAAAGGCACTGTATGAAAGTTTAACAGAGAACAGAAACCAGTTGAGACTAAATGCTGAGGCGAGAGCAAAAGATAAAAAGGAAGTACAGGAGCTGTTGAGTGCCCTGGACAAAAAGCACAACGATAAAATAGAAGAAGTAAAAAGAACTTTCAATGAATATCGCACTAATGTCGAATCATCAATTAAGGTAACAACAAACAAGAAAAAATTAGACGGAGGAGTGGCGTCAAATGAGCATACGAATCTAGAAAATCAAATTAGTTCAATAGTCAATAAGCAGATTAATGAAATTAATCAGACAAAGTCAAGTCAAGGAAACAATCAAAATCCGTTGAAACAATTAACTAGCGAGGTAACAAATAAATTACAAATAGAATTGCTTAACAAAGGAATGAGCTTTAAAAGAGATTATAAAATGGACAGCAAAATGAAGTATGAACATTTCTATGATTATTTTTCGTCAGAAATCAAAACGAATAAACTCTTACACATCATTGACGATAGCATTCTGGTTACTGTGGATGAGGAAACTCTTGCAGAACAGAAGCATAAAGTGAGAGAAATTCTGATAAACCATTTGGATAGAAGTTATCACCCTAAAATCGTCAAACTACAAGATCCAAAAGAAATATTGAAAAAATTAAAAGAATTAAAAATGGCCGAGTTTAATGTAACTTCACACTCGGTGAGACAAGACCTGTATAATAGGAGATACAATCCAACCAAAATGACAGCTGGCGAGTTTAATGATTTGATTGATGAGAAAATTGCAACATATGAAAATGCTCCTGACACCATTCCTCTGAGCGAAAGCGAAAAGAAAGATGCATTTTACAATGCAGTAATAAAAGCTTTTCCAAATATTAAAATCATTGAAAAAGTAACAAAGAAAGCTATAGGAGTGGGCTTAACGTTTGGCGAGTTGAAAATTGCGATGTTAGAAGAAGAAGCTACGACGAAAAGTGAGCTCTCAGATTCAGATCTTAAAACTGCTAATTTTGTACAGCACAAGGGGCCGAGGTGTTTTGCCTGTCAGGCGTATGGGCACAAAGGACCAGACTGTCCCAATAAAGGGAAAGGATACTTGTGCTACAAGTGCAATCAATTTGGGAATCACAAGGCGAGAGATTGCCCAAACATAACAAACAATGACAATGCACCAAGTGGTCCGGGATACTCTAAACAGACTCCAAGGTACAATTCCAATTTTAAATTTAACTATCGAAACAATTATCAAGATCAATATAGAGGTAATGGTAGAGGAATGAAAAGACCAATGAGAGGTGAAACATATGGTCCAATTAAAAGAGGAAGATTTAATAAGAGTAGGTTCTCCTATAAGAGAAGTGAGAACAAACATGGGTTTAAGTCATCTCACAAATCAATCAAGAAATCTAATCCCGACAAAACTACAGAGAAAAATAACTCCAATCAAGGTAAGGAAAAAGAAAATTATGATCAATCAACTACTGAAATATTTTATGCAGATAGTAAACAAACAAATGGAAATAAGTTTTTGACAGACTTTCTAGCAGACTCAGGCGCGACCGAGCATTTAACAAATTCCAGAATTATATTTAAAACTTTTAACGAATTAGATTGTGGAGTAATTAGATGTGCGAATAAAAATGAGTCAGCGGACTTGAAAACGGAGGGAGCAGGAACAGTAGAAATCGAACTGGCGAGCGGTAAATTATTAGAAGTTGACAAAGTTATTTTTGCAGAAGCTCTTAAAGCAAATCTGCTATCATTAAGAAAATTTGCCGAAATGGGATTAGCAATCTACTTAGATGACAAGAAAATTGATATATTTGATCCAGTGTCGAATGAACTTTTCATTTCGGGGATTTACAGAAAACCTTACTGGATAATCGATTTAGAAATAGTAAAGTCAAACTCTATCAGTGAGAATTCTTTCAAGCAAATAAACAGGCGAGTAGTAGCAAATGTTGCTGATGTCACTGGGGGCGAGAATGAGGTGAAAAGATATCTTACCAGAAGTGTCACAGCAAATTTACAGAATGAAACAAGTGAGAAAACAGACGAAATTGATAAGAGTAATGAGGAAGGAAATAAAATTGAAGAAAAGGCAAAGGATGAAAAGAATAATGGAAAAGGGAGTGAAAATTTAATAAAAGAGAAAATTATTAATAAAGAAAAGATTCCCTATGAACAATCAAATTTTGATTACACCATTTGGGACAGAAAATTGCAAGATGTTGATGAATTACCATGGGATGACTCGTTAGAAGATTTCCCAAAACTTT